AAAGCTAAAAATGAACCTATTTCCAGCTCTAAAACCCGGCTACAAGCCTAGAAACGGCAGAGAACTGCTGTTGGTTGCAGAGCAGGTAGCTACTAAACAAGACAGAGTAGATGAAGGGACAACTTTAACAACAAAAAAAAAAAAAATGGTGGCTGATAAACGGGTGGCTACAGTTATGTAATCAAACTGCAGAACAGCGAGCTAACATGGGGATGGCTGTTCTGCCCACAGGCTTTCGGCTGCTTACATGTATTATTAACAAACAGAATAAAAATAACATGTTGGAAATAATGAGGCGTTTGTGTCCGAGTTGAGTAGTAACAAGGTATGACATGTTTATGCTAACAAGCTAGCAACGAACACGTCTGTTCAAACTATTAAAAAAAAAAGCTGTTAAAAATCAAACTAACAGGTTTGACGGTTTATTTAGTCTAAAGCTCTGAAACAACGAGAAAAAAAAAGTAAAACGAGGCTTTATGAAGTGAACTTTTAATCGGACTAACCTTAATAAAACCGTTCGAACCACCGGCAGCTTGCATCTCTCTGATTGGTCGGAACTTCTTCTTCTTCGTTGCCTTTGTTCGGCGAAAGACTCTACTTCTTCTTCTTCGGTTCAAAGATTTATTTTATTTTTTTGGCAAGTTTAGGTATTTTTAAAGTATATTAAAGAAAATAACACTAAATAAAACGAAGGAAGAAAATCCTACGAAGTCAAATTAGTTCAAACTACAAATTTCTAAGCTGTTTGTGCTAGTTGGTAACCATGGCAACACCGCAGAGAGCTGCCTTTAGTGGGCCTGCACTGGAATGAGCTTCAAAACAGATTTTTTTTTCATTTATTATTTTGGTGGTTGCTTTTTTATTTATTTATTTATTTAAACTGCTCAGTTGTTTGACTTGTCACATAATTTCACATCCTAAAAGCTGTCCGGTAAACACAGTCTGCTGTCGGTTCTTGTAGCCATCTGCCAGCCGGGGGAAGCTGCCACGGATGATGGCTGGTGTGATGATCGTGAAAATCTCGCTATCAACCAGAAACACACGAGTCATTCTATATTTGATCACTTTAACTTGTTTTTGATTTCAGACAACAAGGAGGAGCGGATTAGATATTATTAGTGCACCTTTAGACCAGCTCCTGTAACAGCACGGTTTGAAGCAGACTATTTTCCAAACTACAAATATGGCGAGTTAAAACATGGGCGGAATGAAGAATTACGGGGGCTCAAGGAGTATGGAGCCCCCCTTGAGCTCCAAAATGTCTACAAAAATGTCCAAAATGACTATAGTTTAAAGTAAAGTTTTAAAGTAAAATATATATATTTTTAAAATCACAAAACAACCGTTAAAACAGCAATACGTTGATAAGAACGTCAAACGGATGAAAGCCAGCGAACATGGCATAAAAGAGTAACTTTTGCAACACAAACTATTAAAAAAATGCTACAGAAAGTAACAAAATGTCTAAATTTAATGTGAATTAAACCCACGGAGCTGTAGCGACTACAATAAAAAAAAAAAAAGAAAGCCAGAGACAAAGAAAAGTAAATTAAAACAGAACAATTACACAAAAAATACAGAATTAACATAATTAAACAAAACTATGAAGGGATATGAAGCCTCAAAAACTGCAAGTAACATCCACGTTGCTAAATAGACAACAAAAATACATTAAATGATACTGTAACCTCAAAAATGAACATTAAAATAAAAAATACCAGCAAAGCGACACTAAATGTCGAAGGACGCTAAGCTTATCACCATGAAATGCAATTTAACAAAATTCCTTCAGAACAAAATTAAACTGATCATAAAGATACAAACAACAGACAATAGAGATTTTATTAACAAAACTACTAAACAGCAACAAACTACACACATAAAGAGGCATGAAGTGATTTTTGCTATAATTTCATAGCGTTTGTTTTCCGGTGCGGGAGTGCAGAACTGTGTCTGGAGCTCTGGTGAGGAGTGGAACAGGACGCACCTCAGCAAGTGGAATAATTTATATGGGAGAATGGTGCGAGGACAAAGTACATCCGCCTTATTTATTAATTTTTTTTACATCTGTGTTTAAAACACAACTTTGCGATGCCATCTCTTACTCTCCAGATGCAGGAGGAACCTTGCAACATCGAGTTCAAAGACATGTTCCACGGCACCGGAACGTACATCTTCCCAGACAGCTCTGAATACAGGGGCCAATTTCACAAAAAACGGTACCAATTCTATTATAGATAGCTCTCTCCATGAAGTTTAAACGAGACATTTCGAAGTTTTGACTGTTGCGTTTTAGGTTAGGAGATGGGGCCTTCACTGACACACAAGGACTTGTTAGGACACGAGTACTGAAGAGTACTGAAGAGTTGTCTTTGTCATGCCTGTGATGATCTATTTTCAATCTACGTGTTGAGATCTAGCAAACAAAGTTGTTTCTGCTTAGAGATCACACATCCATGTGCAGTTCATCTGCAGGTAAACATCTCTTAAATTGGCAGGACCATGTCTGTAGCTGCTTCATATTTCACTTTTCATTTACTAAATAGTGGTACTTGGAGAGATTGGTATTAACTAAGGTGGTACTCATTTGAGAACCACTGGTCCAGAATAGTTTACCAAACCGTGTACACAAAATACAGGCCACTGCACGGCTTGCTGGTCACAAACACTCATAATTCAAAGGACCGTGATGATTAATCTGCATTTTTTAATCAATATTCTCGACAGCTGAAGCCCAATAAGATACGGGCCTCGACGTCTTCTTCTGTTTGTTTGCCAACAACCACAATTCGAGAAACATTGTGACCAAAAACCACTTAAAAGGTTCATAAAATATTAGCATAATGCTATTAAAGTTGTTATAGGAGTTAAGAACGCAATGTTGCTATCCATTTTTACCATCTATATCCTGCCTACACGTTTCCAGTTTCTGTGGGAAAAGGTAATAATCCATCTATAACAGGTAAGATATTAACTATCCATAACCTCTCCACATACCCCCATTTTTCTCAAAAATCAGAACTTTAAATCCGTCTATGCAGCGTCTTGAGTCCGGCTTTAATCTCGTCCACCAGATGGAACGTCGGCTCGAGGAGGTGACCAACGTGATGCGAGTGACAGGGAATCAGCGTTTTAACCCCAACAAATAAAATAAAATAAAAAAACACACTCCACAAACAAGTTTTCTACACAGTTTAATAAAGAACATTTGTCACTTTGAATGCCTCTGTGGAGCTGGAATTGCACATAACCCCCTGAACAGATTCAGTACTGAGTGTTTCCTCTAACTGTACAGATATGGAGGCGGGAGCAACAAAAACACAAACATCTCTGCACAAAATAAAAAAAAAAAAGAAACGTATTGCAAACCTTCAGCTCTGATTAAATCTAAAAAAATAAAAAAAACCAGGAAGTGGCACTCACATTTGGCACAAGATACAAAACAAAGGCACATTTGAAAAGAAAAACACAACCGTGTACACACTTTAGTGCATCTTTTGGTAATGAAATATGAGAATAAATATGTATTCTTCTCTGGAGGTGAGCAAGGAAGATTTTTATATATTATCTTTATAAACCTGAGAATCTATAAAGTAAACAAGTTAAAGAAATTGCCTTCGTGGAAAAAATATAAATAAAATCCTCTGTAATGTATTATAGTGATGTTTAGAGGAAACAACAGTGACAGCCATCAACATTCAATTAAAATAGTTTAAAAAGACATTAAGAGCAGAGGTCATGCACGTTTACATCAGGAACAACAAACCAAACGGAACCAAGTGCTTGTTTTGTGCTTATTAACGTCAGAGCTCCGGATTGGACAACTGAAACAACCAAGACAAGAAAAAAACAGCATCATTCTCGTGATGGAGAAGTCTAACAGCGGTGTTGTCAGGCGGGTGAAGAAAGCAGCTTGAACTCCTGCTGCTCTGATCGTTGCCGAGATTTATGACGGCGCCACAGAGAAGCAACTTTGTGCCGCTTTACGTTTCCTATCAGGTCAATCGTAAGAGTTTTAGATCACTGTTATTTGTTTGATAAATGACATTCGCCCACAGTTTGAGCCCAGTGAGAGACGTCTGCATGCCGTACTCACTGGCCATTAATTCAAAATCAAAAGGTTTAGTGGTTAAAATGGGAAACTGGTACACCTTCAGCTGTTGACAAGCAAAGACCTTATAGAACATTTGACCTTAATTTGTGACCTTGGTCTTGAAGCTTGGGGATGATGAAAAGTGTACATGATAATTTCTTTATTTATTAACCCAGTGGTTCCCAACAGTGGTCCTTGAGGAACACCACCCTGCATGTTTGTTGTTTTGTCCAAAACTTGCACGTTAGGCTGCCTTCAGGCCTCGTTTGCGAAGGAGATCTGTGATTTCATTGGGATTTCCTGGTTAAATAAAAGTTAGTGTTCCCAGCCCTGGTCCTTGAGGAACGCTATCCTGCATGCTTTAGTTGTTTCCCTGCTCCAACACAACTAATTCAGAGATATTTTTTTTTTACTTCCTGAAGTTCTGCCAAAGCCATTCATTCAAATCAGGTGTGCCAAAGCAGGGAAACAACTAAAACATGCAGGGTGATGTTCCTCAAGGAGCAGGGTTGGGAACACTAACTTTTATTTAACCAGGAAATTCCACAGAGATCACAAATCTCTTCTGCAAGCAAGTCCTAAAGGCAGCCTCACGTGCAAGTTTTGGACTGTGGGAGGAAACCGGAGCACTTGGAGAAAACCCACGTGAACACGAGGAGAACATGCAAACTCCGCACAGAAAGACACGATGCTCGAACCCAGGACTTTCTTGCTGTCGGGCTAATTGGCATCGTGCTGCCATGATCCACATGCGTATCAAACGTGATTAAATTATCTTGAGCGGATCAGAAAAAGAAAGTTTACAGACATACAGATGGACACTAAACCATTAGTCCCATCTTCGATGAGCGTCTAAAAAGCTGCTTTTGAATAGAAAATAAACCCAACCCCTCTTCTTTTCCTACACTTAGACTACAGCTGTGTCCATTCCCTCACGTTTTGCATCGAAAACTAGTCTCCAACGCTACAGTCCACAGTTCGGCTACACGCAGTGTTTCCAGCAGACTCTGAACTTTCCTCGTGGGACCATCAGGAACTCCACTGCAGCAAAGTTTTGATATGTGTGTTATGCAAACTGTGCAGGACGTCTGATTACAAATGACTTTTGAAGACAAATCGGAACAACAGATTAAATACGAGGTCTTTTGGTTCCACTTTAAAAGAAACAAAAAAAAAAAACAACAACATCTCGTCGTTTCACGTCAAACCGTTCTGATCCCGCCTCTCAGTTTTTAGATTTTCTGTTTTGCAAGTTGTTTTAAACAACGTTCATGAACAAACACGTACAGCTGGTGTGTTTTAGCAAATTTCTGTTTTCAGAGAAAGCTCAAATTTGTCAGGTTGCTTTTCTAAAAAAAATAAAAAATAAATAGTAATAAAAAAATCAACTGCTGACAATCAACCCCAAAACCTACAAGATCAGTTTTAAAAACAAGAAAATAAAAAAACGATAAAATATTTTTAAATGTACACTCTTAAAAAATTGTCATAAAAGGTTTACCAAATGCACCATTAGGAAGTGATCCTAAAAGGAATCAGAAAAGCACCGATTTATTCAACGAGGGGACTCAAAAAGTGTAAACTGATCTATTTTTAAGGTGGGGCAGTACGCGTGTCCTGCTACAACAAAACCACGTTTTACTTGAACTGCTCTTTCTGTTTAGGTCCGTTTCGCAGTAGTCTTAGGCACGTTAGCCTAAAGTGTGTGCTGCATCAAACCAGCCAATCCCTTCACCGTGTTCTCCATTTTATTTTCCCCGTTTCGTCCGATACAACCCACCACATACCCTCCAGTTCCTATGGGTTCTGCAGCAGCCCCTCCCATTGAATCGGCTGCGAGAACACCTCCCTCTCCAGCCACATCTCGTAGCTGTAGTGGAAGTCGTCGGGCAGCTCCACCCGCTGACCCAGAACGCTCTGCAGGCAGTTGTCCACGGGCGCGAAGTCGCCGTTCCTGTTGTGGTCGTAGCGCCGACTGTTGAACTTCTCGATGCTCTCCCGCAGGGCGCACTCCTCCGCCTGGAAGTCCCAGGGCCGGGCGTCGATATCTGAGACACGGGCGACACTTCCCTTGTCAATTTATTACACGTGTTCAACACAATGGTACTTCGTCCAGCTATCTAACTGTTAACAACGGTGTACCACAAGGCTCAGTCTTAGGACGCACTTTCTTTACAATCTACATAAGTCATGTAGGTCAGAACATTCCTGACGCATCCTTGCATTTCTATGCTGATGATACAGTTGTTTATTGTCGAGCTAGCCTACAACAGTTGCTAAGGTTTTCCAGCTTTTACAGTCCGCATTCGACATCATCCAGTCAGATTTGCTCCGTCTCAAACTGGTGCTAAATGCTGATAAAACCAAAGGGATGTTGTTTTCAAACAGGAAGTCGGTCCCAGCAGTCCTTCCTTTTATTTTATCTATGAATGGCGTTCCTATTGAGTTTGTGGATTCTTATAAACACTTGGGAATCTTGGTTGATGCACATCTCTCTTTTAAGCCGCATGTCAAAAACTTGATAAAGAAACTGAAATTAAAACTGGGTTTCTTTTTCAGAAACAGATCTCGTTTAACTCTGAATACTAGAAAACACCTTGTAGCTGCTATTTTCCTTCCAGTCATCGACTATGGTGTCATTATTTACATGAACCCTGCCTGTACCTTGCAGATGTTGGATGCTGTCTATCACGGTGCGCTAAGATTCATAACTGGCTGTAACTACCGTACCCACCACTGCACTCTTTACTCTTCAGTCAACTGGTATCCATGCAGACTCTCACACTGGTACATTTTCATCTTTAAATCACTCCTTGGTCTGCTGCCTTCATATAACTCCCCCTATATGTCACGCCACGTATAGCGTATGCTCTCAAGACATCATTACCTGCAGCAACTCGGACTTTTCTTACTCTGCTCCTGTAACACCTTGCAAAAGGAGCTGAAGCTCTCGACTTTGATCTCTAAGGGATTTTAAACAATTAAGTTCAATACGAAAATCAACGAAGACATGTTCTTATTTTTAGTATTTTACCTCGTTTCATAATGTAGCTTGATTTTATCTTGTTTTACATCACTACTTTTATTTACTTTTTATTTTATATGCATCTTATAGCTGTTTATTGTTCTGTGCATCTTATCTGTGTTTTGTCTAAATCAGGTCTCTCTTGTAAACGAGTCGTCGTGACTCAATGAGACTAACCTGTATAAACAAAGGTTGAATGAAAAAAATTACAGTCAGAAGTTTACATACACTCATCGTGGGGCTTGTGAGGGTTTATTTGAACCGTTTGTATTCCAGGGTGGAATTATTCTAAGACACATAATTTCAATGGCTTTTTTAAAAGTGGATTTGTTCCAATCTAACTCATAAATACAAACATCCACACTTTCATTTGGTTAAACGCTTTTATAAAGTTTCTTCTCGACCATACGCCTTTCGTAGCCTTCATCAGGTTTCTGGATGTTTGACTCTCTTGGGCTGAACTAGTCTAGTTGCTGGTTTGCTGGCATGAAAATGGTTTTTATGCAGGGTCCACTAATTTTCAACTGGGCTGGGTTTGGGGTTTTAGGAATGACCATTAAAAAAGTTTGAGCCAATCATAAACCAGTTCTGATGGGTTTTGGATCACTGTCTCATTGAAAACTTACTTGTGTCCATGTTTCAACCATCTAACTGTTGACTGGATGTAAAGCTGAAGGATTTGGAGGTTATTCCATCCACGTTAGCATGATGCTACCGCCACCATGCTTGACAGCTGGAACTTTATCACCTACAAAGATTCTTCATGATGTGGAAAAAAAAAATAGCTCAGCCTTTGTCTCTGCAGACGCTCAAACGTTTCTCCAAATTGTTTCTTTTAGCTCGCCCAACTGAAGCTTCAGTCAATCTTGAAGGCATCTCAAGGGGGTGTCAAACCGGCTTTGGTTCGTTTCCAGTTCATGGCAGGTTTACTCTTCGGAGGTTCCTTAAACGTCTCCGTTGTGCTGACTAGGCGATGGCCATGTCAACGTGAAAGACCTTCGAGAACCTTCAGCAGCACATAAAAGAGTTCAGCCTTTGTTGACCGTGTCCCCGTGTGTGCATTTGTCTCCATCCCCCCCACCAATCTGCCCTCGTTCTGTCCCTCTCTTTCCAGCACTTGTAGTGACAGATCGTTTGCTCTCCCGTTTGGGATTGTGACCATGAAAAATCCCTCATCCACGTTGCTACGGCAACACAACTCCTCTAGTTCTGCACCCCCTCCGACACACACACACACATCTGAGCCTACAAAAATCATTTTAAAGCACATAAAGGCAACGTATACCTAGCCCCGTTTTAAATGTCTTTTCTGTTGCGTTAATCAGCTCCGTGCTAACGAAGGAAGGCTAATGAGGCCAATTAGCTGCAGGAGCGCTTCATCTGTGCAGGTCAAAAAAGGATGAAGTGAGCGGAGACAAAGAGGGGACGTGTCCCTCATTTAAATAATCTGCAATTATACCAATTTATCAGCCTGCGCCAATTAAATGAACGATGAACTGATAAACCTAGAATTAGGGCTGACGTGGTGAGTCCCAATTGTTTTAATAGAAATACTATTTTAATTAGGTTTTTAATTTTTTACTTTAAACACCTGGTGACATCTAGATATAAAGCAGTGTTGGGGATGACTCTCAGCTACTACCACACCAAACTACAGCTCAATATTTGCAAAACCGATCGAGTTATAGCCATTTTTGCACTTGCTAAAGTCGTTAGCTGTGGCAGCCATCTTGAATCAAGTCGACTCCAAAAGTTAATCAGTTGTAGAGTTGCATCCAGTGATGACTTCCTGAGAGGTTCATTAGAATCTGTGCAATGGTTCATGAGATATTTTGCTAACAGACAGACAAACAAACAACAGTCAGAGACAAGCCACAACCAAAGCGCAGCGGTGTAGTTACCATGGCAACCCATGCGAAGAGACCGACGTCTAAAATCTGTTTATAAGAAAACGTATGCGCCTCAGTCATCGTCGTGTGTTTACCGTTTCCGTAGGCCCAGTCGTCGTTGAGTCGGTGGCGGACCTTCTGGTAGATGGCCGACATGGTCTTCATGTTGCTCTTCCTCCACTGGCGGCCCAGGTACTTGGTCTGGATCTTCAGCAGCTTGAGAACGTAGAGCTGCATCATGGCCTGCTTCACCTTCAGGGCTCGCTTCAGGATGGGCGCGGACTTAAAGACGACCAACATCTGGAAGGGGAAGACACGAAGAGCGGCGGGCGAGTCGGGTTTTTGAGCTTCAAACAAGAAAAACGGCTGAACATCAGAGGTTTGCTGTAAGATGATGACACACCATGGTCCTGGAGTGTTTCCATTTGGTCAGCTTGTTGAGGATCCTTAAAAGGTTGATGCAAGAAAACAAGTTCCTCCAGCAGAACTGACTGCTGTCTCCTGCTTCCTGTAAACACAGAGACACCGGGGGACACCGGGGGGGGGAACACCAGGGGGGACACCTGTGACTCAGGATTCTGGATGGCCATCATTCCTCCACTATGTGAGCTCGGTGACTCACCAGGCTTTCAGCTGTGAGCTCAGGCATCTCGTGGACCGCGCAGTGAGGAAAGTCCAGCACACAAATACTGCAGCACGAACACACGGCAACAAATTCAACACAAGAACGACGTCAGTGGTTTGAACTCACACGATTCAGCTGTTCACAGGTTTTGTCCACGGTTTGTGGACTCAAACTACTCCTGCAGACTTTGTGCCATTTTAACAGCTCGTATAAAAAAAAACATTCAGATCGATGCTGCGACTTTCGTTCTGTTTTTATCTTTATTTTAGTACATTTAAAAACTTTTAACTTTTTTAAAATGAATTTCTCCATAGAAATGCATTGGTATCTCAGTTCTTTCAAAATATGCTGCAGCATACTCCTTCTGTTTGTTTTCTTAGGCTACATTTAGGTTTTAGCTACGCTTGAGTTAGAAGCTCTTTTTAGCTACTGGTTTCCCATTTTAATCTTTTTGTTACTGTTCTGCTATACTTGGCTTGTAGCTACCATTGAGGAACTTTTAGCTCTTGTTGTGGGACTTTTAGCCATTTTAGCTACTGTTAAGAGACTTTTAGCTTGAAGCTTTTGGTGTGAGACTTTTGGCCCATTAGCTATTGTTGTGGGACTTTTAGCTTGTAGCTACTGTTGAGGGATTTTAGCTTGAAGCTAGCTACTGTAATGGAACATTTAGCTTGAAGCCATTGTTGTGGGACTTGTAGCCCTTTAGCTACATTTGTGTGACTTTTAGCTTGTAGGTAGTGTTGAGGGACTTTTA